GATAACTTATTCCCATTTCTTTCTTCGGGTTGCTTTACATCTCCTTAAAATAAAAACTAAAATACTGTAATTAATGTCCTATAAAAAAGGACAATTCTACAATTACCAGGAACTTTACGGATACCAGGGACAAATACGGATAAACATCCAGAGAATAACAGGAAAGGAGCTATAACAATAAAGGTAGAGCAAACTCCAGATCTTTTGTAGAAATCATGACTTTACATTTGCAAACTCTAAAACACATAGCTTTACATGAAGTTTGATCAAGTGTAACTAGAAACATTCGTAACATGTGTCTGAATTACAGTCGCAAACCGGTAATGATAACATCGCGAACGGGGGTAAATGTCTTCAGGTTGTGATAAAATTTTGACAGTTATAAAGGAATGTTACCAATAATGATATGTAAGGTCATCGATTATCAAATGTAATATTTTTATCATCGGTTTAAAAAAAATTAAATAGTAACAGGAAATGAGTTATTTAAAATTCCATTTTTTGGACTGTATTTTTTGCAACAAGAGCTGTTTTGTGCTATGATAATGTTTATTCAGACAGTACTTCACAACAGAACGTAACAATTTATGTGGGTACTACTTAAATTTGCCTGAAGAACGCTAATTAAATTCCATACACTTCGTTTTTTATTAATTGAAAAATTTGCATGCAAATACAGTAACGAACATTAACGTTTTTCAGTAAGAGAGTATAGACATTAGATTATTTGGAAGCAGGAGACGTGAAAAATAAGCAATGCCCTCGCCGGAAATCGAACGATGGACCTCTAGAATAAGCGCCGAGAGTGCTGACCACTACACAACAAAGGCATTCTAAGAAGGCGGGAGAAATACTTTATAAGGGTTCACAGCTCTTAATATAAAACTAAGTATCCTTATGGCGTTTGCAAGACACTAGCACTCATCCAGATTGCTTGTACAGTAGCGAATGCGCCAATAGCATTACTTCTTACCGCACTGACGAAATCATTGTCTTTTCTTTTGCACACTGGTAGAAAATTCTTGCATGAATAAATTCATCTTCGTTGAAGGCTGAAACTAAACACTTAAGAAATTCTGTGGTTTGTTGGCATAATACCTAGAGCAAAATGTAAAAATAATTACACTGTGCGGAAAAGCAAATTATATTTATCTAAACAGTCAAAAACACATGATTAAAAAACAAGTGAACTATTCATTTTTAAAAAAAAGATGCTAGATGATATCATGACTGCATGATTAAACCTTAGCGAATAGATACAAACATGATAGCAGAAAAATTAGGTTCGCAGTACGTAAGTAGTGGATGAGGTGCAGTGCCCAAGAAGCCATGTTAACCAATCAGGAGAAGGCACAGTGTGTCCTGTGGTACCATGAGACACGATCATCAACCACAGTGCAGAGACACTTCCAGACAACATTTGGAAGGAATCCACCTGATGTCAAGAGCATTAAAGCCTGGTATGAGAAGTTCAAGAACACAGGATCGGTTGCTGACCTTCCGAGGTCTGGTCGACCAAGAACCTCAGCAGACAGGGTGGAAGCTGTGAGGCAGTCTTTTCTGCGAAGTCCGAAGAAATCGGTGCGCAGGGCCTCACGTGAATTACAGATACCAAAAAGCTCTCTCCATGACATTTTACACAAACGTTTATTGTTTCGTGCATACAAAGTGCAAATCGTTCAGGCCTTGTTGCCCAATGACAGTACACGTCGATATGACTTTGCGGTCGAAATGCTATCACGTATTGAGGACGATGATGGTTATCTCAGACGAATTGCCTTTTCCGACGAAGCGACCTTTTTTGTCAGTGGAGTAGTGAATCGCCATAATGTGCGCATTTGGGGTTCACAACCCCCTGGCGAGGTCATGGAGTGCACCAGAGGCAGTCCAAAGGTGAATGTTTGGTGCGCGCTATTGCACGATCGAATTATCGGCCATTCTTCTTCGCTGAGGCTACCATCACATCTGCAGTGTATCTGGACATGTTGCAACTGTATGCTGTTCCTCAGCTGCTTCAGTATCACCCCGATGTCTTGTTTCAGCAAGACGGTGCAACCGCCTCATTGGGGTTTGGACGTCCGTGCCTATCTCGATATGACCTTTCCTGGGCGATGGATTGGTCGTGATTGGCCAACGGTTTGGCCTCCACGCTCTCCTGACATAACCCCATTAGACTTCTTTTTATGGGGTTATGTCAAGGACGAGGTCTACCGAACACGTGTACCAGATCTTGAAACCCTGCGGCAACGGATAACCACAGTCGTTGAATCGATCCCTCCAGTGATGTTGGCTAATGTGTGGACGGAAATTGAATATCGCCTAGATGTGCTACGTGCTACCAAGGGTGCTCATGTGGAAGTTTACTGATGTGTGAAAAAAACTTTGATAGTTTGTAAACAATTAGACACCAGTTTCATATTTGTATCTTACTTCTAGCCTGAGTTATCAATTTATGTAATCAGGAAAAGACTTTTCGGACACCCTACATTATGACTAACCTCTTTCAGAATTAAATAGCCAAGAGTTAAGTTGTAGTCATTAAATCCTTAAGACGAAGCTTCCTAAAATATATACAATCAGTCAGGATGCAATGTAATGTAATATTTGAGTATGTTGCAGCCCTCCTGGCCGATAATAATCCGCCTTATAGTTAACGCGACACACCCAGCACAGACAAACAAAAATACAGTTAAAGGATTAAATCAAAAGATCAAAGACAGATTAAAACAGAAATACAGTTAAAAACATCAAAACAAAATTTCTAGTATTGTTCTATTGCCATTTATAAAGTTCATCAAATCATTTGCAATTCCAAACTGTTTATTTTTTCAACAGAATTCCTATATGTTACCACATGTCGCAATAATACGTAGTCTTCGATGAAATGACGTGCATTGGCTTCAACACTACAAAAACTACAAAGATTATTACTTTGCAAATTAAATCTTTTCAGGTACCCTGGGAAGAGCCCGTGCCCAGTAATTATTTGATTGTAATCAAAATCACATTAAATTTAATAATGTGATTTTGTTATTAGTCACATTAAATAAAAATTCTCATATTTTTAGAAATTTCAAAGTTCAACCAATAATCTTTCCTTTTTCCCGAAATGTTCTATTTATCTTTTCAACAAACGTAATAAAAATCTGTGCTTTTACCAATAACAATTCTTTTTTATGCTTGAATATCGAAAGCATTTCTGGCATTACCCACAGTAGCTACTTTGGCCACAATATGGCACACTCATTGCCTAAAACACCAATATGGACTTTCCCCCAGTTTATTTTCCCATCATGTATTTTCTCAGCTTTTACAAGGAGATCTTTTATCAGTCAGTGTGTGACAAACACACAGTTGAGCATTGCATTTTAAACACAAAGACACACTCCCGGTTTTCAGAAAATAATGGTGATGGTGGTAAAAGATGATTTAAAATTATTCCCTCTTTATTGTTTTTAATCGCCTCCAACCACACCACTTCAGGTTTCATTCTTCTCAATTTATTTTTTACCTGCACATCCATGAGTAGCTGTCAATTATCAATAATTCTGTTTTTGAATAAAGTTTTTGTATTTCTTAGAGGAACAGATTGACTCGATGTTTCCATAGCAGACTTTGCTGCAATGCCTGCTGGTTCATTTCTTTTAATACTTATATTAAAGCCAGCAGTAAATAGTTCAATATCCACGATTTCTCAGATTTAAATTTAGCTTTATTATATGGCAACTGAATTTTGGTTGGAGAGCATTTCTAAAGCTTTTAGCATGTTAAACGAGTCAGAATAATTTATTAATCTCCTCCAGAAATGCTTATATAAATACAAGAGACAGTCAATTCAGAAGTGAGTACAGAGTAAGCATCATACTGTCGTCTGCCGTTCATATTATTTTCGATTGTGAACGACATACCAGTGTGCCCAGCTGATTTCGATCCATCCGCATATATGGGGGTGTATTTCCTATAAATCTGCCTATGCTCTAGGAAATGTTACTGATAAATGGTGTTCCTAGTTATTATTATTTCTTTTTGGTCAAAGTGGTTAAATCCTTCAGTGGTATTTCACAGTGCTTTAGAGCGTAGGTATATATATTCTTCAATGAGGGAGCGAACGCTTATTGGAAATTAAGGCACACAACATGATAGTGCTTCAAACAAGAGGTTACACATGTCACTATGCAAGCGAAGATCAGTAGGATAGTCAAGCAGTGTTGACACAAAAGTTCAGCGAAATAAATACTAGCGAGAAGAACTTCAAATTCGTAATAATGGTATATTATTGCAGATTGCTCAAGTCTCCACTGGAGTGGTGGTTCTTAATGAATCAGCATACAGACTCTGCACAGGTGATGTTCTGAAGGTTCCAGAACATAAAAGTTCTATGCAAATGTTATGCAGATAAATAAATATTCTCACAAATAAAATGGGCTTCTCAAGTTTTATTATAAATCAATACTAAACTTCTAATTCTTTGGCTTACTTAAGTTGATTTTGACATGCATTTTAATTTCATCAATTGCCTAAATTTAGTGTTATGAATTGGCAACAATAGTACTTTTTTAATATCTAAGAAGGGATCCAAAATATTTATATAATTTCTATGCTTTTGAATTTTTAACAGACTCAAATTTATAAAAATTTCAATATAATATTAACGATGCGTCAAGAGTTAGATATAACATGAAGGAGCAATTTATAAATTATTTTTGTCTTTTATTTAATGGATAAAGTTTTCCAACTTAAGCAGCATCAATGAAAACCACCTGGATTATTTTTGTGTCCTTGTCGATCAGTCAAAATGAATTCCGCACTTCTTAATATTGTTATTTAATCCCTATTATATTTCAATATATAAGAAATAAAATTGTGTATGCTTTGATTTAAAAATCATGCTGATATCTCAATTTTTCAACAATAGCAGATGTCAAATTTCCGTGAAGAACAGGTGCTTACGAAAATCAGTTGTAGGAGATAAAATTTATAAATATGTATATAAAGGAAGAAGTCTGTTATTTAAATTCATACTATACTAAAATATAAAGAACTGATCTGAAGCTTAGTTTTGGTAAGTAATCTTATGCTACATTTACAAAGTTCCACATAACAAATCCAGCTTAAGTCCGTCTAAAATACATGCAATTATTCTAGTTTTTGAATTTGTAAGTAAATTTACTGTGCATTTATGTTATCTAATTCACGGGTCATCATAAATTAACAAACTAAAGTCAAAACAATACGGAATCTTACATTTATTGCATGATGAAAAGCAATGCATGTTTTACTGTTTCTATAAATCAAACTGCCATTTTGCTTCCTAGCACGAAGTAAAAAAAGTATTGTCATAGCGAAATATTTTGTGTACCATATTTTCAAATGAAATATCACTCTGACAGTTCCCGAATAAAATTTGGCTACTTCCTTTTGGTGTGACATCTAACCCCGTTATTACCACCCCTACTTAACATGTTCCTGAAATTACCAAACACTAATTCAAACAAGGAAATTGTATTTTATCACTTTGTGTATAGTTATAATTTAAGTTATCTTATTTTATTTAATGCGCATTTCAGTTTTTTAATTATTACTTATATATGTAAATTTTTTAATTATTACTGATATAAGTAAAATGTCTTATAAATTATTTGCATTATATCTATAATAGATACGTTCAATAACCCAAGTAATGTTTATCAAGGTATACAATTGTAAGTACGATTGTAAATTATTTATTGTTACTTATTGAGAAATGGCAACAACTAATTTCTGAATGTATTCTATTGATATTTATTAAAATTATGTACGATTGAAATGTATATTGGTACAATGCAGTAAGAACGCCAGTTATGTTATGTAAATTTAAAAATACATTACATGTAGCTTATTGTGTTAACAGTACGATTTATCTTTTAATGAATGTTTGTTTGTCTTTTGAAAACGTCTTATGAGTGTTTAATTTAAATACAAAAGGAAGCTAACACAATCAAATATCAAAAAAAAAATTCTGAAAGATTTCAGATTTTAAATTACGTCCAAAAGGGCGTTTTTTTAACATTTCGTCTGTTACATTTAGTTATTAAGTATTACGTTCTTCGCACTTAAACCATAAAATTCAGGTCAACATCAATATCGCAAAATAGTTTTAAATTGAGCCTATCTTTAGAATTTCCGATGCAGAGTCTCGCGCACTGGAGCTAAAAATAATTTTTCTGTACAACGTTGCCATTGCTCGCTTTGAAATCCATGAGCTTGTTTATCAGAAATTTGTTAAAGTTTTACAAAATATGAAATCGATAATAAAACAAATTCCATTTCAAATTTTGGCTACCACACGCCCATATTAGCAGCAAGATTACGTCATTCAAAATTCAATGGCTCTATGTACCGTTGTTTAATCACAATGCGAGTCATTATTTAATTTCTTCAAATATAATGCAGGACTCTAACATTTGGTGGCAACAGTTCGAAAAGTGAAATGGATATTTATAAAGAACCAATGCAAAATCGCAAATAGAAAACAATAGTCCTTCAGGGACAAAGCCCCCTTTGGACTAATAAACGTTCAATCTATTACTGCAACCTTAGCCTGTGAAATGTACATAACAGTACATGTTTTCAAGAAGCAGTAGTTTTAACGTCACATCACAAAGTTAGGTTAATGTTTCTACAAGACTGACCCACTAATGCCAATTTAGGTTTTTCTGTAAATCACAGTGTACTCTGAGTAATAATTAAAAATCAATAATCTTCCTACCCATAAAAAACGCGAAATGGTGGAACGCTGCCTCACCTGCTAAATCACCAGTTTAAACAGCCTCAAAATTTAAATGTTTGGGCGAAATAATGAATTTTATGAATGAATTTCGATGAATTTTGATTAAGCACGGTTTTACTGCGTTATTGTTATCAAGAATTAAATATTTTATGAAACTGCAAGGCTTATCAAAGATTAATATATATTTAAGAGAAGAAAATAAACACAATTTTCTAGGCATGAACACTGAATTGAAAAATTTGTAATGAGTGCTATATATTTCCAAAATTTCAGTAGTTTATTCTAGTTTCAACCAGAAAAAAAAATTGAATGATAACAAAAATGGTAAAATGCAAAGAGAAACATGTTAACGCAATTTCTATGTACCACTTACGGAAAATGTGTCTTTGCGGAAAAGAATATTTATCGTAGGGATGATTTATGATATAATTTTAACATGAAATTAAATGCAGTATTTCTAAGTTTTAAAATTAACAGTTTTCTAAAATGTCATGTTCTCTAAAAATGTATGCACTGATCAATTTTTAGCAATCTTTATCTCCATTTTAGAGAATATTCAAAGCCTAAACATGAAATTTATCACCATAGTGCTCTTGATAACTTTGATGGTGCTTAGCATTGAAGCGGCAGAACCATCTGTTGTTGCAGGTAAGTTTTTGATATTTCTATGCTTTATAGCTTTGACTTCTGAATATATACAGATATAAAACATATATATATATATTATTTTTTATATATTATAACATAACTTCGATGATGGCAGCTGTTTTGTTGACATAGAAGCGACACTACACTAGTACTGAAGTCTTTTACTTTAGCCAATAAATAAATAAATAAATAATACAAAATTTATAAAAATATATTCTGAAAGCTTTCAGATTTTATATTCCTCCCATAGGAGCGTTTTTCAACTTTTTATGTGTTTATTAAATTTTGTTTATTTATTAAATATCATGTCTTCCTCGCTTAAACCATAAAATTCAATTCGTCATCAATGTCGCAAAATAATTTAAAAAAAAAAAACATACCTATATATCTTTAGTATTTCCGATCTTAAATTTCAGAGCGTGAGACTGGAAAAAAAAATTTCAGAAGATTTTATTTTCCCGTGCAGTGTTGCCATTGCTCGCTTTGTAATCGTTGAGTTTCTTAATCAAAATCACATAAATGCTTTGCAAAAATATGAAATAGAAAACCAAATTCCAAATTTTGGCTTCCGGATGGGCCATATTTCAGTAGAGGTCTACGTTATTCAAAATTTGATGTCTCTAGGTATCATTGTTTTTTTACAGTTCGAGAAACATACATACATTCATGCAGATTCTACACTACTTAATTTCTTTAAATATAACGCAGGGCGATAATATTCGGTGTCAACAATTTGAAAAGTGGACCGACATTTATGTTTAACCGACGCAAAACGCCAGAACGAAATTAATAGACTTTCTGGGCAAATTGCCCCTTTGGGCTAAAAATAAAGGAAACGACTGCAGTCGAACAAATTCTAACAACAAAAACAAAGGAAAGAACAAAGGGAATTCTGTGCATCTATTAAAGTAAGTTAGGATATGTTGAATCCGATTGTAGCCATCTGAGCGGTAAAAGCACGAAATGAAATACGTGTTTGAAATCCCAAATAAACATTACATTACACATTTGCAAAATAATAAGATAGTGGGTAATTATGATACGTTTACTAGTCTTGCTTTAAAGAGAGTATTAGTTAATTTTAACATCTATAAAATGTCCAAAATGTTATGAGAAAGATATTTCATAATCTTGCAAATCAAAAAATCAGTCATATCGAAATTAGGCATGGGAAATTCTCACCATACTTCAATTCTTGACAAAGAGTGTAGTCTGTGCTCGAAGCACCAGAGGAGAAGCTGCTCATTTCATATCATTTGCATAACTCGGTGACTTTCGTTTAGCCTGAAATTTGCATAATTTTCGGGCCACTCTTTCTTGGTGGTGCATTTTTCAATCTCGGGTAGTGAATATGCACCGACATGCACATACTTTTTTTTTTTTTTTTTTACTTTGTAGAGTTTATATTTATTTTAACTAAAATTTATTTTAAGCTATCTTTCCTGTCAAGCCTTTACTTTCCCCTAGAATTGTCAATGCCAGAGTATGTAAATTGTAGTAGAACGCGCAGTATATTCAAATTTTAGCAGAAGTAAGTTGAGTTTAAATAGAAGGGAAACGAGATTGTATGTGTGCTTCTTGAATCGCTAACGTGAAGGTTGGCTAGGTAGAAATTTAAGAACCGCGCGTTTCGGCCTGTGTGCCTATTTCGGCAGTTCGTTGAATCTTCAACTGCTTAATCAGTAAGCTTGCTGAATCTCAGCTGTATCTTAGAACGCGGTTTAGTTACGATTTTAGACCCTCGTAGGTAGTGATCTCGTTATTTTATTCATCCTGTTATTTATTTTTAGTTTCACTTTTCTGTTTTGTTAAACCGCCGGGTCGCGTAGTTTGTGAGCGTCAAGTGAACGCAGCTGTTATTTCTAAAGTGGAATAAAAAGGGATTTAAACCCTTCTTACGAGTTTGTGTAATTTACAGTTCATAGCAGTCACTACCACTGTTGCTGACAAGTTGGGGCCTCGCAACACTATAACTTCGTATCCCTGCTGAAAGGCTTGGCAGTTTTCCTTTATTTCTACTTTACATACTGTTATTTTGCTATCGTTCTTCAATTATTAAGAATACTGTTTGAAATTTTTGAAACTCCGTGCAGGCATTTGTAGCATGGATTTGTTCATTTTTGCTCTTGCTTTCCTTTTTGTGCTCCCAGATGTTCGTGGTGTCATAGAATTTGAACGATTTAGGTCGTTTTCTACAATTTAATTTCATTGTTACCGTAATTGTATTTATATCAAAAGTACGCAATGTATGCGCATAATGTGTTTTTTACATATTTGTATGTGTTAAGTTTGTATACCTATATATACCGGATTTACTCGTGAATTTTTACTTTTTCCTGCTAGTTTTACCACTTGAAAATCTAGAGTGGAAAAATACGTGGTGTATTACTATTTCTGAAGACACAAATTATAAATATAGCACTTTAAAAATTATACATAAAGACGTACTAATATTATTATATAATACTTCAAATGATTGATAAATTTTTCATTATTTTGTTTACACTTACACAAAATCGTTTTCTGTTCAAGTATACATTTCACATTTTTACCCTAAATCAGAATTTTCTAAATAATATACTGAAAAGTCTAATGGGAAAAGTACACGAGAAGAAAAAAAACATGCTAGTAAATAAGGTAGTTAATAGCTATTTATCCTTTACGATTACGCATATGTATTTAGAAAAAGTTATATAAATATTTCCAAAGAATGTTATTAGTATTTACATAGATTATTCAGTATTTAGAAAAAGGTATATAAATATTTCCAAAGAATGTTATTAGAATTTACATAGATTATTCAGTATTACATTAGATTTGAAAACTATTAAGGGTTTTTATGTTCTGTTTTGCTATGTATTTTCAAAATCATATAAATTTTGAAGAGCTTCAGAGGAAATATTGTAATCGCGAAAAATTTCGGGTATCATATTTCAACGAAAATATAGACTTTGATCACTATCCAATACAATTTAATGATATTTCTGCGTGACATCCGCAAATAAGGACAGAATAAAGGACTCCCCCTAAAATATTATAAAACTGATTTAAAATGAATTCTGAAGAGAATTTTTCATGGCGGCTGTGCGTATCTCGCATAACTCAAACACGAGTAGCCTTAGAACGTTAAAATTGTGTATGTAGGACTGCTATAACATGTAGATGTGCACGTCGTATTTTGGTTGCAATCGGCCGGCCCAAAAGTATGTAAATATATGTATATATATATGGAGTTATCAACAATATAAAAGTTGTTTAAGTGCGGCTAAGCCTAACGAATTTTGCGACGGCGGACATGTTTGTTTACATTTCAAACTTGGCAAATAGCGGAATTGTTGCTAATCTAGAGAAACTAAACTTCGCAACAACAAAGAAAACGCCTTCTTTCATTATTTTGCATTAATTCATGCTTAATCCGTTCTGAAATTTAGTCGCGGATATAAGTGTTTCAGATTTACTTCGTAATTTTTAATATAAATATTTTGAGATTTTATGTATTTTTGCCTTGTCGGAAAGTGAGAACTGAATTAATTAAATGAGAAATACTGAATCATTTGTGAAAGATTGTTCCTTTTTTGTTATGTTTGCTTAATTTCTTTTATATATCGTGTTAGATTTATTATAGTATTTGAATAGAACTTGTGGCAACAATTATATAATTCTTCAAATGATATAAATTTATATGCATTCTGATTTATAATATGAACGAAATGTAACGCTGTGAAATGAACCTAGCGCCAGAGTGTCGCTATGCTAAACAAATATAGTGAATTTTAAAAAGTGCATTTATTCTATTGTGTTTTATGCGCTATCGACTATGTAGATTTAATTCAATCCAATAAGTTTAAATGAAATGCAAGAAAAAATGCGTATAATTTAATATTCCGTGCAAGTTATGGGGTGTAAAACCAAGCAGGTTTTAGCAAATTTTAGAATAACTTCTAGAGATGCATGAAAATATAATTTTGTAAGTCATAACAGAATAAAATTTATTACTCTTGCCATATCGAAATATTGATTAATTGAAAATAATTAAATTTTACAGGCGATTCATTCTTGGAGGAAATTGAAGAAACAGAAAGAGCGTAAGTAATCTTTTTATCTTCATTGGTATCTTTCAGAAAGTAGCTTGAAACAGATATTATAAAGTCATCAGTTGTATGCTCTGACAGAACAGGACATTCTCTTGTATTTAATTTACCGCAATGACTATTAAAGAAAGATCAAATTGTAAATCATCCATTTTTGCCCTCATTTTTACTCTTCTGCTGCAAGTAATATTTACGCACTTCAGAGATATACTACATATCTTTGTTTAATCCGACAGAAAGCGACTCTCACTTTTTTAGCTAAATGATTTTTCCAAGCTAATCAATTAGTAATAAGAATATATTTTTAATTCTGTTTTTAACGTAAATTATTGATTAGATTTGGCTAGACACAAATATCATGAAAGAATTTCTTAGATAACGACTCTAAATAGGTAACTTGCCTTCAGCGCCATATCACAAGGAATTGACGTGTTAATTCATTAGTAATAAATGTATATATTTGAGCATCAGATCTTGTCTAGAGCTGGTCAGTGGTTTTTAAGCATTTCTTTGCTTCATTATTTATATATATTGCTTCATTATTTAAATCAGGTCGCTCTCTGATTTTTCGTATACAGTTCCCAACAACTACAGCATTTTATTATTATACAGAGGCTGTTCGTACATTTTTTAGACGATTTTGGTAAGCGGTAATAGAAAATCGTTTCCTTCAAAAGAAGTAATTGCAATTGTACTATGTTTTTAAAAGTCAAAATTATCGTCTGTGGCTTGAAAGTTTTGTTCTTATTCAAAATGGCGAATTTAACAAAGCAGTGGTTCGAAGGCTACATTTACGCTTCAGGAATAAAATCTGGTTATTTTTCATTAAGTATTTACCAAAGTGTAAGATTAGGTGAATTGAATCTCAATTAGAAAGTAGTTTATCTAAATTCCTCTTAAAAACTGTAACAAACGCCTTTAGGAAGTAATTAATACTTTTCTACTTTCCAATAAAATATCCCAAAATATTTTTGTATCCTGAAGGAAACGGACTAATTTTTTTTTTTCTTTAGAAAATTTAAATGTTTAGAAAAATTTTTCATGCCGTAATTAATAAATCATAACGGATGAACCAAACTTCGCATTTTATTTCATTTGTTCCTACTCCTTATAAAAACCAGAATTAAAGTTTTAATCACTGATTATCGATATTGTTGTTCCAAATTATAGGCAGTCTTAGAAGAAACGTTTGCAGATCAAAATTTACAACATAAGGAAACAAAGTAAAATAATAATATCCACATTTATTTTATCATAGGCATACTCTAAATACATAGGGATACTGTAAAAACATGTAATACATTTAAAATACATGGAGAAATTATTATTCTATTTTGTTTTCTTATTTTGCAAATTTTGATCTGCAAAACGTTTCTTATTAGACTATTTATAATTTGGAACAGCAATATCGATGATCAGGTGATCAATAATTAAACCCTTTATATTCTGAGATAATATTTATAATTTATAAATATAATCTCAGAATATAAATCAGAATATATAGATTGAGATTCATATTTATAATTTAATTCGTCAATCTTTTAATTACCTTAGTTTGCGGGTAATTTTACGTTTTTCTCTGCGTTGAGAATATATTACTTTTATTTTGCAAACTGTCTTATTTTATAAAGTGCGCTTGTTTATAACCGCTGTAGCATAAAATGCTTAGAACGATTTGTATTATACACCTAACAATTATCCGAAGATGTTAGATGAATATTGACATCGGAATGTTACGAGTAAATAAGGAAAACTTAAATTTGAGACTTCTTGTCATCTGACAATAACAGCTGCTGGCTTTTAAGCTACAGTCAAGACGAAATCACAATAACTAATCCTGCGCAAGCCTACAACACGGACGTAACAGAAAACTACTTAAGTATAACTAAAGCCAACTGTATGATGTAGTATAGTTGGTCTTGCTATCACTGCTCTGCGATGAGTTAAATCAGAAGAAGCTTTAATCAATTCACAGTGAAGTTTGCATACTGGTTCGAAACTCATTTACATAAACCTCTGGCCTGAGCAAGTGTTACGGGGAAGCAAAAAACGCAGAATAGTAGTTAACAAAATGTTAACTGTTACTATATATTAAATCATAAACTTCCCATGTTTGAATGAATGTATTGTTATTGTTTTATTCTGAAAATAAAAGTATTTGGATAATATTAGAAAACAGAACATTTCTGGACACTTCGTTTCATTATTTGAGATGTAAATGTAGGATAACGTATGTCTGGTGAATGTATATGGAGAGATTTCGAGATTAATATGTCATGTTTTGCAGCAAAGTACGAGCTATTTTTAATCTTAATCAGTTTACAATGTAGCAAAGAACAGAACTGTAGTTTTTAGATAAATAAAAATATTTTTCCTGTAGTTTTACTGCATTTTTTGTAAATATTTCATTTATAGTTAAAAATGTTTTATAAATAATAAAACATTTCAATGCTTTTAAATAAGTTACGGCGCAAAAAAGAATAGCTAAGCTTAAAAATAATTTTCTGTGTTTCACCCCACCTCACCAATTTATCGAAAAAAAGTAAACAGAAATCTTCCCACCAAACTTAATTTATAAATAATATTCCAGATGAGAAATCGAAACACGAAATATTTGCTATTTTATTACCTTTACTGAGTTTTTGCTACTATTTATAACAAAATATATTAGCAATACTTTGCTAATATAGTTTGGTATAAATCAGCGCTGTCCAACTTACCATAGTGCGCGGGCCATATTTTCTTCACCAAGCATTTCGGGGGCCAAGAAGGTTGATAAATGAAAAGTCAGTTTATGTTAATTAAAACATATCTTATTTATACTAAAAAGAACACTTTAAAATATTCGTAATATGTTAATGAGAACATTGTGGCCGTAACTGTTTAGCAACTATATATTTTATGTCCACATCAATATATGTTGTGGCAATTTTAATTATATCTTCAAGAGTGGAATCTTTCAAACTGTTTCTATATTTTTACTTTATATATTTCATGTCGGAGCATGCACGCTAGCAGATATGTGTACTTCCGAACATTGATACAATTTGAAGTCCAAAATCTCTCAATTTTGGATATTTCTCTTTATCTAAAAATTTGAATATTTCTATTCCAGTTACTGCACGAGATATAAAAAACGAGTCAGCCTGCAGGTCGCATAATTCTATTTGATATTTAGGATCAACGGAGTTGATATCAATATTAATTGGATCACAAAATAAATCAATAGACTGTTTAAGATCATCAAATTGAGAAAATCTCTCATTGAAATCTGTAATTAGCATATCCAATGTTGGTAGAAATATTTTTAAATTCGCTTTTATATTACATTCCTTCACACAGCTATGATTCACACAGCTATGATTTGTAAACATTCCAAACACTGTGGTTTACTGTTCTTGTTCAGAATAAATAAATAATCTATCTCCTAGCGATCTTGGAATTCTCGATTTTCGAGGTCTATTTTTCTTTTATTAGTAGCACTCATTATCAAAAATTATTTTAATTAATAAATAAATATGAAATTAATGTTTATAATATTATAACACAGTCACCCGTTCAACAAATTCTAGACGATCGCATGAATCAACCAAATAGCGCAGAGAGTAGTGTGAACACACTATTCAAATTAGATTTAAATTTTCACATAGTAAAATAATTTTAATATTAATAATAATAATTTAATAACATAAATTTATTCAAAAAATGTACTCGCGGGCCGTAAAATTAATTTGGCGTGCACGGCCCGCCAGTTTGACAGCCCTGTTTTAGAGTATCATGAGCCTAGCGAACGCATCGCTGAGTCTATCGAGTGCATCGCGAGTTGTAACATGGAGATTCTCGAGAGTACGTTGAGTTCCGAGAACGACCGAGCCGAGTCGGGAGTGCTCTGGTGCTTTGCCGTGGAGCTGTTTTCACAGTTATAGCCTGATAGCCTGAATTCTATATTTCTGATTGCTTCAGCGTATGTGTCGTAGTTTTTCGACGACTGTATACATGTTTTTCTCTTGAGACTCCTGAGTTCTCCTGAGACAACTGGCTTATAAATTGTGTTTTCATTCTTCATCAATCGCTCCAAATCCACGAAACCGTAGAAAATGCAATAGTGTTCCTGCCAAGTCCCTTGTCGTTTCACCTAAGGACTATTGTGCTTTTAATCTGTTGAGGAAAGCTCTTTCTAATCAGAAACCCACCAGGATTTACGCACTCTTGAATATACTGGATAAAGAATAGAGTTCAGTACCGCTGGAAATTTACAGAAATCCCTTCTATCAGGAAAATCACGATACAGAATTACAGTACAGAATAAAGAATGTTAGATCAAATGTTAAAAAATAATCTTCACATTTTAAACATTATTTAAACATCGCTGAAGTTCATGTAAACAAGCTTTGTCCATTTATAGAAAAATTCTGAAAAATTACAATTTCATATATTCTGCTAAATACTTGCAAGTACATAAAATGTTAAATTTTCATAATGTGTATCAGTAAGTACTGTAAATTATTACGTGTATTTTACTTAATTCTTGTATTTTCTTTTGCCTTCAGGACAAAGTGCAAAACAAGTGGCAGTTGCTCAAAGAAAGAGAAATGCTGCAAAACGCACGTATGTAGCTGCAACATGCTTGGAACAAACTGCATGTGCCATTAGTTACAGCTTGGCCTACAGTGGATAATTTTCCTTTCTTACACTTCCTTTTTCACGCAATGTTAATAATATGAATAATTATGTAATAAAAACCAAAAAACACAGGAGAGTTTGTGTTTCATGCTTCATTTCAAGTTGTGTTTTTCAAATATACATTAGACTGATTACAAAAGATATTGCAGTTTTATTTTCATGCTTAGGACATTCTTAATATTAAGCTACATTATGCAAGATATTTAAATGAGACTGCACGACAATTCAGATTAAATAGTGGCGGAAATAAGATAGGCCTTCCGATTATTAATTTTTGCTGGATGTATAATGCTTTTAGGAGAAATACGATAAAATGAAATTTTTATATACAGCCTCTCTAAACAGAGCTAATATGCCAATTTAAGTAGCTCATTAAATATCCATTTAAGAAATTATAAAAAATGTAATCGCTTGAACGACGTTTATTCGAAGAGAAAAACGCGAAGAATAAAAATATCATCGATATCAGAAGTGGCATTAAATATAACTTAGGATTGATAGAAACATTTTGAATTTTAATATTTGTAAAAATAGGAAATTAAAATCAAATCTTTTACGGTCAAGCGTTTTTTCAGATTTAAATATATCTTTAGAAAATTACTTTGAAACTTTTTGGGCATACACTGTGTTTTGTTATGTTTTTAAAACTCTTTTTACATCGCGAATTATTTTGGGCACGCCATTAGAATATTTTCCTTTTCCATCAATGATATTTACCACGAAAGTTCCTGAGCTGTCTGCATCCATTTAATTATTATTTTTATTATCCTCAATATTAAATACAAGAATATATTTGATCTAAAAATTAATTTCTCTAAAACACTTCAATTTGAGGGCGGTGTCTGAGAAGTATATTTCCGGATTTAACTAACCAATAATTTCATGTATACGTGGTAGTGCAATGTATGTCATCTGCACATCTGCATATTAATGCTAACTAAAAAGTCTAACTAGATACATTAATAACATACGTAAATTGCGTTAGAGGGTCAGCTTATTTGAACTATGTATTCCAAAATTATAAAATTAAGAAGAGAAAAGCAGGCATAAATACATAGCATATTAAAAATTATCATCCCATAGAATTACAAAAGTACTCAAAATTAAATGCTAGAGGTTGGAGTTTTAATTATTTGCAGTGCATCGTCCAGGACAGAAACATGCGTGCTATATCGACAACTGCACTGACTTTCACTGCCCCTGCCTGTGTACCGGCAATAGCCCTGGCTTTGACTCTAACTGTGCAGATTTTAAAGCTTATTATAAGCTCCTAGTGAACTGAAATTTTATTACTAGGCATTAATCTCAAGTATTTCCAACCTATAATTAAGATATTATTATATTATATTTCCAACCTATAATTAAGTAATTTATTATATTTCTATATTAATAGATTATATTTAAACTTAGATAGTAATTTATTATATTTCTATATTAATGTGTTTATGATTATTATATTTTCAACCTATAATTAAGATAGTAATTTAGAAGTCAAACAACCAAAATCAGCTTTATAGTTGCAAATTTTCACAGGACTAGTTTCGAAGGTTTTAACGAACCATCATCCTCAGCTGGCAAAGCGCAAATGAACGACATAAGATATAGTGTTTAGATAAGATAAGAAATGACTGGACAGGAGTTAAGCTACTGGCGCCATCTGTTGATGAAACGAGAACTAAAACATAATTTCCTTAAAGGCTGAATTCAAAGATGGAGTGAAATTAGGGTCGTTAACTAGAACAGAAAGATGTTTTTGAATGTGAAACGCCCTTAGAAAATCCAATTCACCAATGGAATATATTTTAAATAATTTTGGCTGCAGAAAAACTTAATGTTTTACTTCTAATTTAATTTGCAATCTAGTTTTGGATGTTGCCTGGTTTTCAAAGTTATTAAGTTTCAAGAGTGCATAGGGTATCCGAAGCCCTTGACAACCAGAAGTCCTGAAGAACGCCCTTCCTGCACCTATAGCAATGATCCACTAATTGGCTACATGCAGTCTAAGAGTAAGATTCAAAAACTAGACTAAAATTAGTATTGGATCGATCCCTCAACAAATTTCGGTAACCGGGGTACATCATATGCAGTACAATATTTTTATTTTCAGTGCATGTTCATTATAAAATTAAGCTTTTATTAGTTTATAATTATGGACAAAAATCAGAAAATAACGAACGCGTTTTTCCTTTCGATGATTTATCTACATCATTTCAAATAAATTATTTCATTTTCGAGAACATATTATCTCTAACTGCTTGATGTTACACGGATGTGTATGTGCTAGGATATGAACAGCTGACTACTTTATGTCTCGGCTGACCACTTTATGTTATTATGTTATTTTAAAGTCTCGGCTGCCTGCAGTAAACTGCAGTTTATGCCACTGCCTGCATCAAAAATGAACATCAGAACTCTACTTTAAAACTTCAGCTTAAATAATAAATTGGTCAGAGTGGGCTGCTAATTTATGGCATAATGGTATCGCACATCATAAGATTGACTCAATTGTACAATGTGCTAATGTACACTCAGCCATAGCTGAGAAAGCTATTAAAATTACCATGTAATTAATTATAACTGCAGCAGGTAATTATAACTGCGCCTGATGAAATTGTTCATAACCGTATGGAAATACAAAACATAACACAAAATTACAAAAAATGCCAGTACTTCTGAAGTGTTTCGACATTTTGGATAAGTCACTAAATAATACAATATAAGATACATATTAGCAGAAGAGATGTGTTAGTAATTTCCCTCTGCAGATCTTCCTGCTTAACTTTTATATATACTGCATTTTGTACCAGCTGTACAAATTATACACTAAACCTTTTGAAATGCAACTTACATTTCAAGAACGTAAATGAGAGAAATATAGATATATTGGAATATATTTGTAAGGAAGAACTTCGACCATTTCACAGAAAAGTAAATATATTACTTTTCTTTGGCAAACATGCGTTTTTCAGATGTTCTCAGGCAGACATGTGGATTACGATTTTTCTTTCAGGGGAAAGCAATGACGCTACGCCTATGGAACGGAATGCTTTCGAGGAGGACTTTTTAAGGGAAACTAGTACTTTTATACATTACACAGAAACTAATATAAAAATTAATGTGTTTATGATTTTAGCAATTAAATATGTAGATCTGTATTATTCTTTCAAGAGAAAGCAAACATAGACTGCATGCTTATGGAATGGCATTCTATCGTGGGGAACTTTTCAATGGAAATCTGGTCCCTTTTATATTTTATAGAACGCAGATCATGAAAATTTCATTTTAACTTAATGTTTCAGCAAAATGATCAATAAAAAGTTTTAAGGTTGCAGTTCCTTTAGAAGCTGGATTTAAAACTTACAACCCTACTAGACAGGTTAGCAAGCTACTGCAATATCTGAAACAGTATGACAAAAACTTGTGAAGGTTTTTAGTAAATGTAACAGAGCACGATTTGTGTTGCAGACAATAAAACCACCGCTTAATATAAGTTAAAAGTTGGTGTGTTTACAAGTACGTGTAATTTTAAAGTCTCGACTGGGAAAGAAGGCTAAAGCAGGGATAATTATTTTTAGATAAAGTTGGCGAAACTCTAACAGCGTGGCATAACTGCCACAACTCTCTGATTTTAAGATTCAAAACACTCAACTTATGTAATCTAAAAACTAATTTTTGCATTCTGGTGAAGAATTCAGGAAGCATAAAGATACAGTAAGGATCAAAATCATAATAAGAGGTTAATTAACATAAAGTATGTTACATTTTGCACACCAGAATTGAAATGGTACTTAAATAGCAAACTAAAGTAAATAATGATTTTGGCTAAGATTTTAAGTTCTAAGATCTAACAATACGAGCAAACCTTTACAATCACATAATTAACTCATAAATTGATTATAAAATTCAATTCATATAATTTCAAAAAATGAGGATTTGTTCCAAAGCTTCATATTTTTCTTAACCCATTTATTATTATTCATACTATCATACCTTATACCTTTTTGCATATCACAATATCTGTCAAAATGCTTCCTAGTGGTGTTACCATAATATGCTGTTAGTTGATTTACCAACACATGAGTCGAACTCAGAAGTTACTTGTCTTTAATTCTTTAAACGGAATTCCTCAAATGGGCCCCCATTCGTTTTTAAAGAGTGTAGAATCCTTGCACGCAGTTCAACCTTTTAACGCAGTTCATGCTGCAGCAGACGGCAACGAATCGTAGATCTAGACAGCAAAATACCTGTATCTGTGCACCAAAACTGTGCTAAAAGACGACAGGATGCTGTACGATCCCTCACAAGTATGTGGAGGTGGTGTCTGTCGTCCCGTGCTGCTGTCCTATTGCGTACCGCACTGCCAGGATTTCGTCTTGTTTGGTTGACCTCTGTCCATTTCTTCAAACACGCATCGGTACTGTGGCATTACGCTGCGTGGGGGCGGCGATTAAGTTTTTGGTATGGCACCCTCCGCTGTAGATGGGGCATACTGGCCACTAATTAAACATTCATCGCAGACAGAGAACGATAAACAGATTTCAGCGTAACTTTAAAGTCTTTTATATACATGTATCAAGCAACCGGTTCCCATTCCACGCATGCACAATCGCTTTGTAATTGTATTCATTTTCATGTCTTTCCTCCTTTACATTTCCTGTAAACTTGGTTCAGTTTGCGTAATTCCTTCATGGTGTTGCAATTTTCTCAAGTATCATTGTATTGTTTTCTAAACTTTGGTGTTCAGCAGCTCACCCTTTATGAAAATTCAAGATAGCCCTGCTAATGGCTTACGTAAAGAGGATTCCTTCATAAAATTTCGCCTTCACAATGATACTAGGACTTCTTATCGAATCGGCCACATGAAACAAAACAGTTGGGAAGACGGAAATCTTCTTGTTGTGGAATAAAGGAATAACCGAACCCTTATATTTAAGATATGTTTCTATGTGAAAAAAAGCAATTTTCATAAACCGGAAGGCACTTTTCCTGGGGCACCATTATGAAAGTAGAACTTCCGTTTATTGTGCTAATCACAGTAGCAAAGTGTAACCCTACCGGCATAACAGTGATCCCC